GGCCAGTTAATGGAAGCACACATGCAGTTTTGTAGCTTAAACTAATATAGAGCACTGAGTGTTTACAAGCAGCTGAGATAAATGTAAATATATCTGCATTAACTCTAAGTTGCAGAATTTACTCTCAACTCAAAAAAAAAACAACAACAGCAGAACAGTTTGGCAGTTTATGCCGACTAAGAAAAACATCATAAAAAAAGCAAGTGAAGAATTGCTTTAAGCTTCAGAAGATAAATCAGTCTCAGAATGAATGTTTTTACTGCTGTACAACGTCAACAGCAGTGAGCTTAGATCCACCATGTGAACAGATGACATATCTTTAGAAAACTGATTAAATTAGTCAGCACTTTCAGAAAAACAAGCTCTGAAATAAATGAAATTCTAATTAAACACACATGAAAAATGTAGCATATTTGCAACTCACAGAAAACAACACATAGAGAAAATAAGGTTCAGTAATGATAGAATCAGAATGATGGATAGAATGACCCAAGTTACACATACAAGACTTCACAAAGGCATGTAGTGAGACATGTCATGACTTTTATAAACCACTCAAGTTATGACTTCTATTGCATGTAATAACACCATAAGAGGGCGGCAGTGAGTAATGTTGATTATTTGAGCTTGAGTTGCTTCTGTCTTTTTTCTGGAAAGTCTCCTAAATCTTCACTAATACTTGCAGTTGAAGCTAACATTATGGAGAATGAAAAGAAAAAAAAAAATCCAATTTTGCTTCTTGACATTATGTTAGCAATTCATAACATTATTGTAATGCTTCATAACATTATCTTAGTACTTCGTATTGCCATCATAGTACTTCCCAGCGGTATCTTACTACTTTGTAGCATAAAATACGACTAAGAACTATGAAGACAATGTTAGAAAGTACTAAAATAACACTGCAATGTACTATGATTATGCTATCAAGTACTAAGAGTACACTATGAAGTACTAGGAGAGCACTATGAAGTACTGAGATAACACTATGAAGTACTAAGATAATGCTAGAGAGTACTAAAATGACACTATGATGTACTAAGATAATACTATGAAGACTAAGATAACGCTATAAAGCACTAAGATAACACTATGAAGTACTAAGATAACAAAGTACTAAGAAAACACTACAAAGTACTAAGATAACACTATGAAGTACTAAGATAACACTATGAAGTACTAAGATAACATGACAAAATACTAAGAAAACATTACAAAGTGCTAAGATAAGAGTATAAAGTACTAAGATTACTAATACAACACTATGAAGTCCTAAGATAACACTATGAAGTACTAAGATAGCACTATGAAGTACTAAGAAAGCACTACGAAGTACTAAGATAACACTATGAAGTACTAAGGTAACACTATTTAGTACTAAGATAACACTATGACGTAGTAAGATAACACTACAAAGTACTAGATAACACTGAAGTACTAAGATAACACTATGTAATAAGACAACATGACAAAGTACTAAGATAGCACTATGAAGTACAAAGATAGCACTATGAAGTACTAAGATAGCACTATAAAGTACTAAGATAACACCACAAATTACTAAAATAACACTATGAAGTACTAAGATAATGCTATGAAGCACTAAGATAACACTACGAAGTACTAAGATGACATTGATGTACTAAAATAATAATATGAAGTACTAAGATGATGCTATGAAGTTCTAATACTATGAAGTTCTAAGATAACGTTATTAAGTACTAAAATAACATTGTGAAGTACTAAGATAATGCTGTAAAGTACTAAGACAATGCTATAAAGTACTGAGATAACACAGTGAAGTACTAAGACAACACAATAAAGTACTAAGATAACACTATGAAGCTCTAAGATAACATTACAAAATACTAAGATAACCCTATGAAGTACTAAAATAGCACTATGAAGTACTAAGACACTGCTGTGAAATACTAAGATAACACTATGAAGTACTAACATAGTGGTATCTTTGTACTTCATAGGATTATCTTAGTACTCCTATTGTTAAACATAGTATCCTCAGTACTACTGTAGTTAGACAGTGTTTTCATATTAGGACCATGACAAGTGATCCATGCTGTTTACATGATTATATCTTAGTTAGACATACAATCTTAGTTATTATTGCTAATATTCATCCATTGGTTTGCTTGTAAATGTGCTAAATGTCTGTTGTAGAAAATCTCATATGAATAAACTGAACCGAATGGAATTGCTTCAGCAAGCAACACTGCAAAAGTGCCATAACCTGGAACTCTCATAGGAATTTTCTGAACGAGGGATTCTTTATCCGGCTGGAATTACCAGGTAGATCTGCGTTCGCTTCACTTCTCCGCCGCTATGTCTCTGACATTTGTCACTGTGCAGAGAGATTTGTCTAATATCTGTGGAACAGTCCTTTGCTTCTCACGCCGAAATGAATCCGCCTGACTGGATTTAACTGAAGCACAAAAAGTAGCTGCCCTGGGAACCTGCAGCCGAGAGGAAATTATCCCCTCACTCACTCTCTCAGTCTCTCTCTCTCTCTCTCTCTCTCTCTCTCTCTCTCTCTCTCTGAATTGAATTTCTCTGTGTCTGCTTTACCTAAACAGAACGTAAGCTGGGTCACATGACATTCTCATTTGCATACATATTCCCGTCTGGCCCCAGGGGCCTGTGGGATATCAGCGGCAGAGTGCGGCTGACCGACAGCGCAAATTGAGCTGGAAGAGGAGCATTTTTGGAGGAAATGGAGGAAAATGGATAAAAATGGAATCCCTGACAGGTTTATCAGGCTGTGGTCGCCATGGCAGCAGATGGGGAATATTACAGCAGATTTGGGGCTTGGACCTCTAATAATAATTTAAATAATACTTACAAGAGATCTGGGATTTTCACAGTTTGAACTAATAATAATAATACTAATAATATTAATAATAATAATAATAATAATAATAATAATAAAATTATTATTATTATTATTATTATCATTATTATTATTATTATTATTATGGTAACAATATAGCAGTGCTTGGACCCCTAGTAATATTGGAATTACTATTACTCCTCCTCCTCCTCCTCCTACTACTACTACTTCTACTACTACTACTACTACTAATAATAATAATAATAATAAGTTATCAGCACTGAATGAATCTCTAGTAATATTGCAATATTAACTATTGTTTTACTATTACTACTACTACTACTACTACAAATAATAATAATAATAATAATAATAATAATAATAATAATAATAGTAATAATAATAATAATAATAATAATAATGTTATCAGAACTTGAGTGCACATCAGTGCTTGGACCCCTAATAAACGTGGAATATTAATTATTATTTAATAACATCATCAACAACAACAACAATAACACTACTACTACTATTACCATGGCTAGATACTTTATGAAGCAATATGTAAACCATCATTGAGGATGCCAATATGTCAGTTCTATGAATGATAACCTCAAATTATACAGGAAAGTACATTCGAAAATGGACTAGCAAAACCTTAGCAACCACCTGGGATACTATAGCAATGGACTAGCAACACCTTAGCAACCACAGCCATGGCAAACCAACATAATGTCATTTACTGCATATAACATTGTATATTAACTTGTGAGGACTGAAATAAGCTGTTCGTGAATATTCAAGGATTACTTATTATATGTTATCCAGTGCTTATGCATGTCTTATAGTCCCTGTGCCTCTATGTAGGTCCCCTTCAGACAAAATGTTACTGCTACAAATTGCAGTAGAAAGAATGTTAGAAGTAATAAAGTGAATGACAAACGTGCTGCATTCCAGAAAAGCCAGATATGATGATGAACACATGCGAAAATCCTCATAATATGCATAATCTCTCTCAGTCAAAGCCATTATCTGGCGTGTGAATAATGGATCTGTATCTGTAGTGAGGCTGAAGTGGCCTGGCCTACATAAGGCTTTTTTTTTATTATTGTTGTGGTTTGAGGGAGTAGAGAGAGTCATCACGACTGGGCCAGTGGTGCTTTGTGAATCATTTACTCGTGTTTTCTGGCAAAGCCTTTTTTTTTCAGAACAGGCAGCTATTCAAAGTAAACACCTACACAATGTGAAAAACTGTCCATCTCTGTGCTTCAGGGAATTTTGTGCATTTGTAGAGTTTTTGTGCACTAACAGGCATTATTAATTCATCTATTAGTAACATAACAACAGAACCACTGGGACGTCATGTAGCGGCCACATTACAGTCAAACACTATTCCCGATTGTAATATGTTCATAGTTCACTGCATCGTCTTTGAGAGAAACTTCCATTGAAGACTCCACATTGTTGTGCGTTTACAAGCCCTAACAGAGCCGAGGGGTTTTACAGATGATGCTATAACAGAAAGAAATACTGACAAAGCAGTGTGAATCTGCAGTGTGTGGTTTTATAGTCTGACAGTAATAATTGTGGAGCGATTTTAATCCAGTATGAATCTGCAGTGTGTGTAGTTTTACAGTCTGACTGTAATAACTGTGGAGCGATTTTAATCCAGTATGAATCTGCAGTGTGTGTAGTTTTACAGTCTGACTGTAATAACTGTGGAGCGATTTTAATCCAGTATGAATCTGCAGTGTGTGTAGTTTTACAGTCTGACGGTAATAATTGTGGAGCGATTTTAATCCAGTATGAATGATTGATGCCAATGCTCAATGTGACTCATGAATTTTTGATTACACTGGTGTGATTGACGACTTGCGAGGTTTAAATAAATAAGATAAAAGTAATAAATAAAAATAAATAAGATCAGCTGTGTTGTTGTGTCCTTCAAGAACCAAACTGAAAACTACCAAACAAACATAGCAACTAAGAAATAAAAATAAATTGGGCCAACATAAATACATTTTTGTCCCGGTTATCTTGTTTTCATAACCGTTGGAAGTCAAAATCATAATTGAATATAAAATTTGATTAATCTCAGAGAGGCGGCTGGGCGAGACAGAGACGGCTGACAGTATGAGGGAGTATATCTACTCACCACGGTGAAGTTCATGACCTTGAGGATCCAGATGGTGAGGGCCAGGTTGACGATCATGGTGACGAGGAGGAGGAGGATGAAGAAGTAAAGGCAGCGCTTCCTCCAGCCGTAAATACCCACAGGATACGGGGCTGGACAGCCTGGACGCTGCAGACCGCCGGGCTGAGACGCTAAAATATACTGCTCCTGGGTCATCTACAGAGAGAGAGAGAGAGAGAGAGAGAGGAGAGAGAGAGAGAGATGACATATTAATAGAAATGTAATTTAATACAAGGACTTATTTATTTATTTAAAGATGTTGCTTTCCGTTGTTGCTGTATGGGTCACAGTGCGACAGGGAACATTTTGATGGCAACTCTTTTTATAGATATGTAAATTTTAATTCATGTCCCTGATTTAGATATTTTGACACTGTATTGTGATACAGTTTCTCTTCAGAATGGGATTCCAGCACTCGGTAAAGCTTGACCAGCTTAGCAACAGTAACTATGAAAAAGTAGGTTTGTGGGCGGAGCCAAGATAGAATGAATGAACAGCAATTTGGTGTGCAGAAATATTTAGGAAAATAGAGAACAGAGAAAGAGAGAGAGAAAAGAGAGCAAGGCAGTCAGAGAGAGACAGAGAAGATGAAGAGAGAGGGGAAAAGAAAGAAAGAAAGAAAGAAAGAAAGAAAGAAAGAAAGAAAGAAAAGAAAGAAAGAAAAAAAATAAGCAGGGATGGAGTAACAAAGACAAGGAGAGAAAAAGAAGAAGAAAAGAGGAGATGGACAGAAAAAGAAGAAGAAGAGAAAGAAATGGAAATGTGTGAGAGAGAAAGACAGAGAGAAAAGAGAAGGAGAGAAACAGAAAGAAAGAAAGAAAGAAAGAAAGAAAGAAAGAAAGGAGAATGAGAAAAAGAATAAGTAAGGAGAGGGATGGAGTAAGAGAGTTAGAAAAGAGAAGAAGAGAAAAGAAAGAAAGAAAGAACGAGAGAGAGAGAGAAGGGGAGAGAGTGTGGGAGAGAGAGAAAGAAAGAAGTGAATGGAGTAGAATCTCTCACTGGATCAAAGCATCTGTCATCACCACTTTTCCTCTACCACTGGTTCATTCTGAGTCACTCCATGAATGAAATAAGCCCATCATTCATTTATTCCTTCCATTTTCAATATTAGCCATCAACTGATTCATTCATTCATTCATTCATTCATTCATTCATTCTTTGTATAAGGGAGCCAGCAACTACCCATTCATTCATAACCTGTAGAGCCCTCAGTTATTTTTCATGAATTCATTCATTTATTCTTTTATTCATTGCTTAGTTTTACAGCTCTGAATTATTCATTTATTCATTCTTTACACCATTTGTTCATTCATCACTCTTATATTTCAGCCCTTGATTATTTATTCATTCATTCATCCATTGAAAATGAGTGTCATCAATTCTATATTCATTTATAATCTTTAGGGTTCTATTATTTATTCATCTCATTCATTCATTTATTTTTCACATTACAGCCCATTCATTCATACCATCTTTAATTATTATTCATTCATTCATTCATTCATTCATTCATTCCATAGTATTAGAGCTTTTGATTGCTTATTGATTCATAAATTGAAAACAGAAGCCATCGCTTATTCATTCATACATAATTTTATTCATTCATTCATTCATTCATTCATTCATCCATTCATTCATTCATTTGTTCATAACTCAGATTACAGATATCAAATGTGTTCGTTCAATGATTTAAAAAATTAATTAGACTTGCATTAATTCATTCATTCATTCATATGAATGAATGAATTAATTAATTAATAATACAGCTATATTTTTATTAATTCATTTATTTTCACATTAGAGCCTATTCATTCATTCATTCATACCATCTTCCATTATTATTCATTCATACATTCACTTAAAACTGGACATTTTAAGTGAATGTAACATTCATTATTTTATTCTTTACCTGTAGAGCCCTTGGCTATTCATTCATTCATTCATTCATACATTCATTAGTATTAGAGCTTATGATTGCTTATTCATTCATTATTTGAATATGGAAGCCATCGCTTATTCATTCATACACAATTTCATTCATTCATTCATTCATCATTCATACATTCAATATTGGAGCCCATTCATGCAGTCCTTCATTGATCCATTCATTCATTCAGTCGTAGTTTTCTTACTAGAGCGCTCAGTATGAATTCACTCATTCACTCATTTTTCTTCAGTATTAGAACAGTCAGTTATTCATTCATTAACTCATTCATTCATTGTTTATTGGTACTTTAAGCCATTCAGCGATAACTATAGATCTTATTAATACTGGTCGGTGAATAATCAGTGCTTTTGTTCAGTGATGATGAACATTCAGCTTTTTCTCTGTAATGATTTCCTAATAGCACTCGGATTTTTCTCTGTCCATTATTGGGCTACATGATGAACTGAAATGAATCTGCGAAATAATCCCCCCCATGACCCCCAGACAATGGACCTCCACTGACTGGAGGCCTTTACTAAAAGTCACGTTTAATGAGACGTGAAAGGGAACATTTTAAGAGGGAGACTGAAGTGACTGAATTAGATCTGTATTTCATTAAAAATTAACATGATTCATAAAATGATCCCTCATAAGCTGCAGTTACGGCCAGCAACAAAAACATGACGCAGTTTTATATGAATTAATTCTCAACGAAAAAAAATAAATAAATAAAAATCCTGTAGATTTTACCTTGTTTTTGACTCTTTTGGTTTGAAAATAATCAGAAAAATGTCAGAAATTAAGCACTGATTTTATGTATGTATTATGTTGTGACTAAAGTTTTCAGATATAAGTTATGTGCTGGAACAGGATGCAAGTAGAGCGGGATAATTTTGTCAGAATACCATAAACAGCCTGGAGATATTCACTAACTGACCACTTTATAAAAAAAAACCCACCCTGTACTTCCACTAAATGACCACTTTATTAGAAACACCCTCCTTGTACTTCCACTAAAAAACCACTTTATTAGAAACACCGATCCTGTGTTTCCACTAACTGGCCACTTTATCAGAAACATCAACATTGTGCTTTTACCAACTGGCCACTTTATTAGAAACACCCTCCTTGTGCTTCCACTAAATGACCACTTTATTAGAAACACCCTCCTTGTACTTCCACTAAATGACCACTTTATTAGAAACACCGATCCTGTGTTTCCACTAACTGGCCACTTTATCAGAAACATCAACATTGTGCTTTTACCAACTGGCCACTTTATTAGAAACACCAACCTTGTACTTCCACTAACTGGCCACTTTATTAGAAACACCCAGCTTGTACTATGAACAGACAGTTACTGAGTGACGGTGAGGAAGCAGTGAAGCTCTGAAGGATGGAAGGATGAAAGACTGAAAGATCATCTCCAAACAGAAGCGAGTGAAGGACTCAGGCTCGCTGTGCTCACAGTAAACCGGCCGACCTCTGACGCTCAGCGCCGTCCATACATATTCATAGTGAGTGAATCAATGTGAGTGGGCAGCTGGGAGAGCTGATAGTCACTTAGAACACAGAGGAGCAACAGGTCACTCTCTCTCTCTCTCTCTCTCTCTCTCTCTCCCTCCCTCTCTCTCTCCCTCCCTCTGTCTCTCTCTCCCTCCCTCCCTCTCCCTCTCTATCTCTCACTCTGCCTTTCCTTTCTGTCTTTTTCCCTTCAGTCTCTCTCTCTCTATCTTTTTTCTTTTTTCCATTCCGTTTCTCGCTATCTCTTTCTGTCTCTTCTTTCCTCTTTTCTTCTCTTTCTTATTTCTCTCTTTCTCTCTCTTTCCTTTTTCTTTCACTCTCTCTGTCTTTTCAGTTTCTCACTTTTCCCCTTTAGTCTCAGTCTCTTGCTTTCTCTAGCTCTTTCTTTTTCCCCTCACTCTGTTTTTTTGCTCTATTTCTTTCCCTTTTCTCCTCAGTCCTTATCTCTTTCCTCTGACCTGTTGCTTTTCCTTTCTTTTCTCTCCCTTCTCTGTCGTTTTTTTTCCTCTCTCTCTACAGCTCCTTTTTTCTCAGCATCACTCTCTTTCTTTATTTTTTCTTCACTCCATTTCTCTCCCCCTCCTATTTCTCTCTCTCTCCCTCTCCCTCCCTCTCTCTCTCTCTCTCTCTCTCTCTCCTTTGCCCTCCTCTCCCACTCGCTCTCTGTTGGTTCATCAGTTTCAGCTCTGGTAACTTCTGCTTGTGTCTTTTTCAAACTCTTAAATCACAATTTATTCCTCTTGTTTCTCTCTCTCCATCTCCACGTCTTGTGATATTCATCTCCCTCTCTCTCTCTCTTTCTCACCCTCTTTCTTTCTACCTTTTACTCTAATACTCTCTCTCTCTCCCTCCAAGGCCTTGTTAGAGCCCCCCCTCCTCCTCCACCTCCATCTCAATGCATTTCTCAAATTGATCTGACAACTGAAAGATCCATCAAGCTGCTCTGGGGGCTTCGCTTGATGTGAAAATAAATAAATAAATAAATAAAACAGAATAAAAGGGCCTTTTCGCCCAGAGTAACCCCACTAACGGCCTTGCCACCTCACCTGAGCCCTCAATCAACACGATTACATCTGCTGAGTGCACAGAAACAGTGTGTGTATGTGTGTGTGCTAGTACTGGCGTGTATTTAGCTCTTTGTGGGGACCAGATGTCATTTGATGGTGGGGCGGGCAGTTAGCTGTTCCCAACTAAGAATTTTTACCCCTAAAATCTGCAGCTTTTTTAGTTTTCCCAACTTACTCGATCAGCCAAGACATGTTTGTTGTCTGAAGTTTGGCTCTTTGGTTTTGTACTGGAGCTACGAGGCTAATGTGGCTAAAAAGTAATGAAAACCTGTCTTATGTCTTATGAGTGTTATGTGGTGTTTTATGGGTGATCCTCCATTTTGGCAGGTGTTTATCGGTCTATGCTCCTAAAAAAGATCAAGGGTTCTTTAGTAAAGACAATGGTTCTACACAGTACCATCCCTTTTTGGAAAAGTTCTATGTAGAACCATATACAACACATTCTTCATCAATTCGAAGAACCATTTCACCATGCAGAGAACCCTTTAAGCCTTTGAGTGTTCATGGTCCCATGTAGAACTACTGTCTTTACTGAAAGATCCTTGAAGAACCATCCTTAGAGTGTAGGCTGCTTTAGAGTCGTGTAATTATGTGTGCAGAGATAACTAGCATGTGGATCTGCTTGACTATCAGATCAC